CACTCAACTCCCACACAGGTCAGCCACCAAGCTCTGTCCATCCTCCTCCTGCATCTGTCTTCCCTGTCCCTCCTCTCCACCCCATGTCCCTGCTTCATCTTTCCCAGCTTGGATCATCCTCCCTGGTCTCACTTCCCCCAGCTCATCCCCCACATGACCCCAGGGGGATATTTTCTAACATTCAGCCATACTCTGTCTCTTCCCTGCTCAACACCTTTGCATGGTTTCACATTTTAAGGTACAGTCCAAAGACCTTACCACAGTCTACAGATCTGACCTCAGGGCCTTTGCACTCACTGCTCCCTCTGGCTGGAGTGCTCTTCCCCCAGACCTTCTAGGGGCAAGCTGCCCCTCAGTCCCCAGCAAGGCCCTGCCCCCCCCCACCCCATCACTCCTCAATCTCACCCAGTCCTGTTTGATTGGCTTCAGAGTACTCAGCCTTCTCGGAGTTTCCTGTCTGTTGGTTGTTTGTGTATCCTGTGCGCCCTGAATGTGAGCTTGGAGAGGGTGCTGCCATTTGCCCAGCATCTAAGCCAGTGTGTCAGACAGAAGCAGAATACAGGCCAGAGATGTAACTTTCTATTTGCTACTTAATCACATTTTTAAAATTAAGAAAAAAAGTGCAATTAATAATAATTTAACCCAATATGTCCCCAAATTATCCTTTCAACAGACATAATCAATATAAAACATAAAAAAAATTTTTTTTTAGAGATGGGGTCTTGCTGTGTTGCCCAGGCTGGAACGCAGTGGCTTTTCACAGGTGTGATCACAGCTCACTGCAGCCTTGAACTCCTGGCCTCAAGCGACCCTCCCACCCCAGCCTCCCATGTAGCTGGGACTACAGGTGCGTGACACCACACCTGCCTCAATATATTAATAAAAAATTATTGAGATATTTTACCCTCTTTTCATACTACGTTTTCAAAGTCCGGTGTGGATTTCACAGTCACAGCACGTCTCAGCTAGGACCGCCCCTGTTTCGAGTGCTCAGGAGCCACACGTGGCTGACGGCCACCACACCCGACTGCAGAATTCCAGAACACCGGGTACTCAGTGGGCTCTGGATAAACAGTTGCTGAATCGCAGAGGAGTGGGTGGGTCTTGGTGATGAGACAGGAGGTTGGAGAGGTGGCGGGATTGGGGGGCGCATCTCGAGGCCTTGCCACTTGCTGTCCCTCTGCTTAGGAGACTCCACCCGTGGCTCTTCTGCAGGGCTCACAGAAATGCCACCTGCTCAGAGAGCTCCCCGCCCAGACCAGCCCCAGCTAAAGTAGCTCCTCAGGCCCTTTCGGCCACCTTGCTTTGTCGTCTTTATCTGCCTAGCGCTTTCCCTACCAAGTTTCTTTCTCTTTTGTCAGCGTTTCCATACGGCCATCTTCACGTAACGATATAGAGGCTCTTTCAAAGCCCTCGCCGTGGCCCACAGGGCCCCCTCGTTCCCCCACGCCTTCCCCTTGTTCATCTGCTCCAGCCACACGGGCCTCCTCGCTGCCCTCAAGCCGCCTGGCCCGCTGCCGCCTCTGGGCCTCTGCACCGCAGCTTCCTCTACCCAGAACCTTCTCCTCCAAAGGATCTGAGGCTGTTCCCTCTCTTCAGTTTAGGCCTTTCCTCAATGTCACCTAGGGAAGACTTCTCTGGTCAGCCTCTTTAACCTGCAGTTCATTCCAGAAATTTCTCTGTGCAGGAACGAGTTCACATAGCCGGCCCCAGACTGCTGTCCCTAGACAGGCCTGTGCACACAGCTGGCCCTGGGCTGGGGCTGGGAATTTGGATTTGGTGTGTGTGGGGGTCTTATCATTCCCTGATAAGAGCCGCTCACTGTGTCTAGACATTGCCAACAATATCCTTCATGCCGAGCGCCTGCTTTCCTCTGCGAGTCTGGCATCTTGGTCTGTGCTAGACAGAAGGTGCCTACGCAGCCACCCCAATAAAACCCTGGGCACTGGGACCGAGGAGCTTCTCTGCTTGGCCTTTCACACGTCACCATCTACTGCCAGAGGAATCAGGCACGTCCTGTGTGACTCTGCTGGGCGGGGACTCTGGGAGCCTTGGGCCCAGTTTCCTCCTGAGGCCACCCCATGTGGCCTTTCCTTTTGCTGCCTTTGCTTTGTTTGCGTCCTTTGTCATCATAACCCACAGCTGTGAGTACAACTGTGTCCTGAGTCCTAGAGAATCACCAAACCTGGAGGTGGTCTCAGGGACCCTGGACACACTGTCTCTTCTCAACTCCTTTCTCCTCCTTAGCACTTGTCTCCACTTGACACCCTGTGATGTTTCGCTTGTCTACCTCAGTGATGGTCTGTCCCAGCGCCGGGACCCATCCTGGTCTCTGTAGTCGTCCCAGCTCCACTCAGAGACCCACAGAAGACACTGGGGACCGCGTGCTGAATGACAACTGTAACAGCTTTATTTTCAAAGGTGGAATCCCTCCCTGGGCTTGTGATGGGACAGGCACCATGGGCCGGAGCAGCGGAGCCATGCAGGACAGGGGGTCGGGCAGCTGGCCCAGGGGGCCGACGGGTCCTTGGGGACGCCTCACACGGGCTCCATCTGCAGCTCCTCCCCGTCCACAGGCTCGATCTGGTGGAAGGCAGCGTGGGAGCCAATGACCACCAGGGTGGCTCCTGCAGGAAAATGGCCAGTTCAGAGCCATGAGCCCTCACCCGGCCCCACCCCCACCCCCCGGACCCTGTACTCACCCAGCACCCAGAAGACAGCCGAGCCCGCACCGGCCAGCCAGAAGAAGGGGAAGGAGATGCCTCCGGCCAGAGCGTACTGATGGGCCGGGCTCACCTCTCGGCCTGGGGACAGATGGCATTGGGGCAGCTGTTCCAGCTCTCTGTGCCCTCTCCCGAAGTAACCCCTGCAGCCCCCCAACAATCTGCGTCACAAGCTCCAGGAGCCTCACAATCTAATCCAAACTCCTCACAGCAAGGCCCTCCAAGTCCTGCCCCTGATGTCCCTATTGCGCCCTGGAACACAGCACACCTTCCTCACCCTCCTCACCTCCGCAGCCCCTGCCCCGGAAGCTCCCGGCCTCCCACTGCCCCAGATGAGGGTTCTCCTGTGTCGGCACTTACGTGGACCAGGAGTCTCACACTGGTGGCCCAAGGGCCAAGTCTGACCTGTAGATGTGTTTTCTGAGATGTTTCACAAGAATTTGATTTGAGGCTGACAAACTGAATGATTTCGCATAAAAATACAGACTTCCGGCTTCTCACAGAAGGCTGGAAGCTCGGATCTCTCCACGCCCCTTCACCGCAGCCCAACTTTGTGCGGACATACCTTGCAGGATCCTGAAGAACCTTGCCTGACTGAGAGTCTACCTGAATGTCTGATTCCCAACTCCCTGACCCGACCCCAAACCCTGACTCTCCCCTTGGCGGAAACTTCCCCTGGCGTCCTGTCTTCCCAGTGGTGTTTGCTACCAGTCTGGAAACGCATGAGCCACAGTCCTCAGCTTCCCTCTCTGAGAAGTCCCCAGACCTTTCTGGTCCCATCCCAGGAAGCAGGAAAGGGGATGAGGACAGATCTAGGCCAGTGGAAGGTCGCCACCTGGTGTCCAATGTGGGTACCAGCAGAGCATGCTTTCCGCAGAGAGGTTCCGGAGCAGGGAGTGGGAGGGGACAGCGGTTTGGAGAGAAGGTTTAAGGCACAGCAGCCAGGTGGAGGGTGGGTTCTGGGCTGTATCATTCTGGGTTTGGAGAATAGCAATTTGGGGGGCTGGGACTGGATGGGAGCATCGGGGGTTTCTGAGATTTTAAGGGATCAGGTTCGGGGAACCTAGTGTACATCTAGGCTTGGGCAGACTCGGGTTCAGAAGGACTTGAGTGTGGGGTCTGAGGTTTGCATTCCAAAGGTCAGGGATCCATCCGGGCAGGGGATTTCTCACCAAAGAGCACAAGCTTGGACTGCAACGTGCGAAGATAGAGAATGTAACAGGCGCCAAAGAAGACGGCCAGAGCCACCAGCAACATGGGGGACGTCACCCTGGAGAAGTGCAGGGAGGTAGTGGTCAGGCAGCTGGGGCTGGGCCAGCCATGGGGCCCTGACCTTCTACACCGGTGGGTGGCAGGTTACATCCTGGAGACCAGGAAGGGCCAGGTGACATTTCGTCACGCTGCACCCTGGCCAGGGGATGCGGAGTGGGGACCTGGCCCTTGGGTGACAAGGTCTGGCAGAAATAACCCACAGGGGCGGGGCCGGCCGGGGGAGGCGAGTGCGGGGCGGGAGAGGCACTCACACGCAGTACAGGATGAGGCCCAGGAACACGAACACATAGTTGCTCTGGTAGTACTCCACGTTGCGTACGAGGCGCTGGCACAGCTCACCCAGGTTGCGGGGCCGCGAGAAGCGCTGCTGGTCCACGAAGGTGCCCCAGGGCCGGATGGTCGCGCGGCGCCGCTCCAGCCACTCACGGCCTGCGCCGGATGGAATCAGCTTCGGCAGCAGGGTCCTGGGGGGTGGGGGCGCGACCAGGTCAGCGGTAGACCGGGATGGAGGCCTAGACCCCCGCCCGAGAAGAGGGCTGCGGGAGTCCAGGGTCCGGGGAGGGGGCCCAAGACTCCTGGATCCCAAGGGAGGAGCGGAATGGGGGCCCGGACTCCAGGGTCCCAGAAGAGGAGACCGGGGACCTAGATTTCTGTGTTTGGGGCCGGGACTCCTGGGACTGGAGGGGGGGGCCGGGACTCCCGAGCCTCGGGGCAGGGGTTAGAGCCGGTTCGCTCACGTGGCACTCAGCCCTTCAGCCTCGGCATCCTTCTGCTGGTCTTTCTGGGCCGCCATGTCTGCGTTGTGAGGGGCAGAACTGCGGTGACGAACCCCCGACCCTGCAGACCCCGCCGGCCCTGCCGGAGCCCGGCCTCACCCAGCGGAGCGGACGTGGCGCCGCCCGGGAGCTGCTGGGGCTGTAGTTCTGCTGCCGAGCATTGTGGGAGTTGTAGTCCCGACTGTGCCTGGGCGGGTAAGCGCCGTGATAGTGTTCTGGCTCGCAAGACGCCTTGGGAGACGTAGTCCCAGGAAGCGACGGTGCGCGTCTCTGGGCATTGTGGGAATTGTAGTTTCAGGCGCGGGCGCGTGGACTCGGGGCAGGTGGGCGGTCAGGGGTGAGGACGTTATGGGCTGTAATAGCAGAAACAGGCGTTGTGTGCTCTCCCTTGGAGGACACAATGGGGCCCGTGCAAAACTGTCCTTCTGACTCTAGAGGGCATAAAAAACACCTGGAGGGCTTGATAAAACACTGATTCCTGGGCCACAGTCCTGATACTCTGATTCAGCAAGTCGGGGATGGAGCCCATCATTTGCATTTCTAAGTGCCCAGGTGATGCTGCTGCTGCTGCCCACGGACCACATTTTGAGTAGAGAGATTGTAGAGAATTTGTGGAATTGATTCCTTCCTCAGGAGGCAGAGGCTAGTGCGGGGGCCATGGTTGCTGGAGGGGGCATCTGAGTTTGGGCGCAAAGCCCCCCTCCCCACCCTGGGACTCCCACGGATGAATGGGTTAGGACTGGGAACACCCCCTCACACACACACCTTTGGATAGGGAGGGAAGTTGAGAAAGGAGAGGGTTGAGAATTTTTTTTTTTTTTTTGAGATGGAGTCTCATTCTGTTGCCCAGGCTAGAGTGCCGTGGTGTCAGCCTCACTCACAGCAACCTCAAACTCCTGGGCTCAAGCGATCCTCCTGCCTTAGCCTCCCCAGTAGCTGGGACTATAGGCATGCGCCACCATGCCTGGCTAATTTTTTCTATATATTTTTAGTTGTCCAGCTAATTTATTTCTTTTTTTTTTTTCAGTAGAGACGGGGTCTCACTCTTGTTCAGGTGGGTCTTGAACTCCTGAGCTCAAACAATCTGTCTGCCTCAGCCTCCCAGAGTGCTAGGATTACAGGTGTGAGCCACCGTGCCTGGCCTGGGGTTGAGAATTTTTAAAAGAGGGAGCGATACCTAAAAGAGCTGAAGTTCTGGATTCAGACTCATGAGAAAATCCAGGCTACGTGGCTTTGACCGAGTCACCTCCCTGAACCTCGGTGTCTTCATGTGGGCTGTGGGATCCTAATGGGACCAGACTCAGGGTCATGATGATTCAGTTAGATGGTCCATGTAAAGTGCTTGAAGGAGTTTTGACATTTTATAACTGCTCAGTAAATGGTAGTCATTGTTATTGCCACTACATTATGAGAAATGTTATGATTGTGATTTCTAGAGTTCAGCCTCGTCAAAGTTAGCAGTAACACGTTATAGGCTGCTGGCCCCTTGGATGTTGCAAGGAGTGAGTGGTATCTGAGGCATGTCCCCTTCTTTTCCCTGATTCCCACAGCCATTGTCGCGGCCCAATTGCAGAACGGGGGATGGACACAGAAATAAACACACAGACACACACAAGGACATACAAGACTGCAGTGCTTGATTTGCACCAGTCGTTTTATTTATATACTTTTTCTATGTCCGGCAGCTACTTCCTGGTACGTGACTACCTTGGGCGCCTTGAGGAAAACACATTTTCATTCCTTCCAGACGATTGCTTAAGGGAAGCAGACGTTTGCATCTTAACTTCTTGCATCTTAACTTCTTTATCTCATTACCGTATGCAGGACAATGAGAAGCCTTGGCTTGTTTGCAAGATCCCAGGCGCTTGGTTATCTGTCATAAAGCTATCTGTCATGAGGAATAGTTCTGTTTGGTCAACAGGCCTTGCCCGGGCCTATTGACCTCTGGCGCCAAGGAAAGCACACCCAGTTTCGCTGACTCTGGGCTTAAGACAATTTTTGCCCAGGGACGGTCCCTACAGCCATGGTTCTCTCTGTCTTTGAACAAATTCCTCAGTGGCCTGCCCCTGCCCTTGAGTGAACTGTAGGAAAACAAGGCTGGAGTTCTAAAGAACAGGGCCTCAAGAAATGTGTGTGGAAGTATCGGGAAGCCTGGTCTCCCTTCCATGGACTGAGATTTTAATTTTGCAACACTGGGTGGGGCTTCAGGGAGAATATCTACATGGAATACCCAGGTGACTCTTGTAGCCTCAGCTCCTGTCTTCCAAGATCTACACCCATGTAGGGTTCCAGCTTTAAGGCCTGCTGGAAGGCGCTCCCAGGAGCTGGGGAAGATGGACCCTGCCACAGAGGTTGGGGGGAAAATAGGCAGGGAGGTCCCTGTGGGAGGGCCCCAAACTGAAGATGAAATTAGATTGGCTGGTTACTGTTAATTTCCTCTTTGTCGCGCCTAGGCTTTTGGTGGTTTTCGGGTTTTCCTACTTGGGTCCCGCTTTGCTTCAGGAAATCACAGGACTGTGAACGCGCAGTTGCCCAGAGTGCTAACGAGGGAGCCGCCTCTGCGTTCAGAGTGATGGAGGAGGTGACCAGTGGGAGATCCCCCTCGAGGGAGACGCAGCTTGGGGAACAGCTGGAGGCGGAGGCCCAGCCACCTCTTCCACGGCGGCCTTGGAAAACCTGAGTTTGACTTTTGCCCCACCCAGTTGGGAGTTGGTGGGTTTCCTTGTAGGAGCTGAATGTAAACAATTTCATTCCACTACGCACCAGGCCTTGTTCTGAGAAGTGGCCGGACACGGAAAAAGGCCTGGAGATATTGAACAGCGTGGGCCATGGCGAGAGATGGGGCTTCAAAGGAGGGGTACAGCGGGGTCCAGAGGCAAGGATATTGTGGGGGGACCCTCTCAGCAGGAAAATGGGGGAATTTTGAATAAGGGGATTTCAGGAGATGGGACCTGGACATGGGCGCTGTGGAAGAGGGGCCCCTACGGCAGAGACAGGGGAGAGATGGTGGGAGATGGGGCCCCAAGAGACAGGAGGCCTATGGCAGGTGGGCCCCGAATCAGGGGGGTGGTGGGAGACGAGGGAGCACCTCAGAAAATTGTGGGAGGTGGGCCCTGGGGTCACCACCTGAGGCCTCGTTCCTGCCTCTTGGGTTCCCCGAAGAAGTGGAGCTAGGAGGGCAGGAAGACCTTAGCACGGATAACCAGAGGCCTGGGTCAAAGTCTTGGCTGTGTGACCGCAAGGAAAGCCCTCCCCTCTTGGCCGCGGCCTGCGCACCTGTCTATGGAGTGTTTCTTCCCCTGCACCAGGTGAATAAAGCAGTATCCATGGGCTGCCTCGGAGAGGCCCGGGCTCACGCAGCCCCTACCAGGACCAGGCTCTGCCCTGGGATCGTGAGAGGTGCCTAGTGCACACGGCCCCTGCCTCCTGGGTGCTTCCCCCTCAAATTCGGGAGCTTCTCCTTCACCGTTGCCTTGCGCGTCAGCGTTGCACACACTCGCACGCTCACCGCACTCACGCGCGCTCTCAGTCCCGGCCTCCCGGCCCCTGCTCTGACGTGTGTCTCTGGGCTGCCTTAGACAGGCTGCCTTCAGGGACGTGGTTTAGCTGCCCAGCCAGAATGGCTGAAATGAGAAGGACTGACCATACCTGGGGGTGCCAGGATGCGGAGCGACTGGAACGTTCACACGCCGTTGCGTGCAAAAGCACCCGGCGCCGTGGAAAGGGTCTGGCAGTTTCTGTGAAGCTAAACACAGTCAATCCCATGACCCAGCAATTCCGCTCCTAGCACAGATGTACCCAGCAGAGTGTGTGTACGTGTCCTTGAAAGACATGCCTGGAATGTTCTATGCCTGGCAGCACCAGTGGTAACAGCCCCCAAACGGGAAATGGCCCAAATGTCCCTCAGCAGCAGAATGGATAAACGAATTGCGTGACAGTCGCACGAGAGACGACTGCACAGCACTGGAAAGGAACGGGCTGCCCGTGCGCACGACAGCGTGGACGACTCTCAGACGCAACGCGGAGGACGAGGAGCCAGACATGGACACGACGTGCTGTGAGGTTTGATTTACATCAAGAACAGGCGCCACTAAGGTGTGGTGACAGGATCAGATTGGCGGCTGTCCCTCGGGGTGGGGGCGACTGGAAGGAGGCTTGAGGGAATTTTCTGGGTGGAGGGAAAGGTTCTGTACCTTGATCTGGGTGGTGGCTACACGGGTGTAATTTTAAAAATCTTTGCGTGGTACCCTTAAGATTCGTGCCTTCGGTGTATGAAAGTTTATCTCAATAAAAAGAGAGAGAATGGCGCAGTGACCTAGAGCTCAGACAGCCTTGGTTCAAATTCCAGATTTGTCTCCTAGCTGTGTGACTTTGAGCAAGTCACTTCCCCTCTCTGTGCACATTTAATCTTCACCTAGTGAGGGTTAAATGGGCCAACAGACACAGAGGGCTTGGAAGGGGGCAGAGCACATAGTGGGCACTCAGAGGATCACCGTCATCACCTCCCTGGGTCCTTCCCCAACATGACAGGGTCCCCCGTCTGCCATCTGATTCTCTTCCTCCCCCCGTTCTGACTCCATAATCCCATCGCCTGGTGGATTCGGGCTGCTCTAACTTCGTGGAGTCTAGGACTCCGATCGATGACTCAGATTCCATGCCTCCCAAGCTCGCGCCAGGCTAAGCTTCCAGGGCTGTGTATGGCAGCGAGTGACAGCAGAGGGGACACCATCCCGCCCGCAGCCCCGTCCAGACAGCAAGCACAACACACGCACCGCTTCTGTCCCGCTGATATATTTGATAATTGTCCAGAACCAGAGATGGCATCAGTCGG